AAAAGCAGCCCCTGACATAAAAGCAGCACCTGATATAAAAGCAGCTAGATTAATAACTGTTAAATACGTTCATAACTTAATTTTGACTCTATTAACCTTAAGACTGAAAGTTGCCTGATTTTCTATCTGAACATAACACAGCCATATGAAGCACAATATCGTAAAAGCTTGTTAATAGACACTGTTGATAAAGCACATGCTTACAACAAATTTTCCCATTCATGCAGTCATGCCGCATAGGCAACATAAATCAGCCAAACAAAACCTTCTTCTCCAAAGGTTATATGTATATACACATCTGTGTTTTAAAACATTCTTCCACTTAGAAAGCACCAAGCATCTGTAACTCAACAAGCAGAGAGAAAGCAGTTGTGTTGCCTGCGAAGGACGTGCAATTTTAAGCGTATCTAATTACTCCACATAAAGCACTCCTCTGATTTTATTCTGCATCTTTAAGCACATACGTAATTATTTTTTATTAATTATATATTTTAGCAACCATGGTTCCTTATACTGCTCTCTAATTCATTCTTACAACATAAGCACTGTACAGTGGCACAACCGTAAATATCACAGAAGAGTCTTTCTTTACAGCTGTCGTTCACGAACATTCAAAACCCCCCACAGGTATTGCTGGATCCCAAAGGCTTTTTTTTTTTTTTTTTTTTTTTTGCTAATTCTAAGAATCTTTGCAGTGCAAAGGAAAAGTGCTTAACTTCCTGCTTGCTAAACTCCCACATATTGCCTTTAATAAAGTGGTATTACCAAACTCGCAGAACCCATCAGCTAAGCCTGCAAAATTCGTTGAAAACAAGCAGGTTTAAACAGCTGTCTTGTGGTTGCAAAGAGAAGAGTTTTTGCATTTCGTTTTATTCCATTTAGTTTGAGAACTTGGCAATCCAGAGCTGAGAAATTCTCTGAAGTTGAAAGAAGAAAAGCCCCGTTTTATTAACTGAGCAGAAATAAAACAAATCAGCAAACATAAGACTGAAACTGAACCCACATCATACAGGATGGGGCTATATAAACTTACTAACTACAGATTCAAAACACATTTTGATCGATTTCTGGTTTTATTTAGCCAGGTGCGTTATTTTTACCACCTAGCAGGTACTGCTTCAAAGAGCTGACATTCCCCCCTCCCTTTTAAAACCATATTTAAAACCAAAATTAATGAAGTTAAACCAAGTCACGGGGGAAAAGGGG